TACCTGTCACCTATAATCTATCACCCTACCACCTGCACTATAATCTGCACCCTACACCTGCCACCTGTAATCTGCCACCCAACTTCTTACCACCTGTCATCTGTCACTCTACCACCTGCCACCTATAATCTGTCCTTCTACCTGCCACCTATAATCTGCCACCTACCACCTGCCACCTATAATCTGCCACCCAACTACTTACACCTGTAATCTGTCCACTCTACCACTGCCACCTGTCACTCTACCACCTGCCACCTATAATCTGCCACCTACCTACCCACCTATAATCTGCCACCCAACTACTTACCTGTAATCTGCCACCTACTACTTGTCACCTAATCTGTCACTCTACCTAATCTATCACCTAACCTGCCACCTATAATCTGCCACTCTACCTGTCACCTATATCCTCTACCCCTCATCACCTGCCTGTCTGCCCACCTGCTGGTTAAGGTGTCACCATAACACCTTAGCCAAACCTACAGGGCTTACCATGCCATCTCTCTCTCTCTCTCTCTCTCTCTCTCTCTCTCTCTCTCTCTCTCTCTCTCTCTCTCTTTCCCTGCTACCATTTTCCCTCTCCTTCATCTTCCTTCTCTCCTCTCCTTCCTCTCCCCTCTTTCCCCCAACCTCCCCTACCCCCCCTCTTGCCTTGCCAGATGTGGAGACACACAAGTTGACATGCACACAGGCAGAAATTCCTCCACTGAGTCATTTTTATTGGCAGGGCTGAGAAATCATGTAAACTATAGGCTTTGACAGGCTTCTCCTCCCTCCCTCCCTCTCTCTCTCTCTCTCCTTCATCACGCCACTTTGGGTCGTACGCTAGATGAGCCTACGTGTGGTGTTTCCCCTTCAGTGGCCAACGCCCTCGTATGTTGCTCCTGGGTAAGCTTGTCCTTAGGTGGTGGTGAGGGTCAGAAAATGAGGGGGTGAGAAGGTGAGGTGGGGAGAAGACTGATATCTGTGGGCTCGGCGTTAGTGATTTACCTTCCTTTTCCTCCCCTCTCTCTCTCTCTCTCTCTCTCTCTCTCTCTCTCTCTCTCTCTCTCTCTCTCTCTCTCTCTTTTCCTCCTGTACCCTCCTGCACCTTGCCCACCCTGTACCCTCCTGCATCCTGCCACCACCCAGTGCCCTCCTGCACACCACCGTACCTCTGCCTTGCCACACCACCCAGTACCCTCCTGCATCCTGCCACACCACAGTACCCTCCTGCCTCACCACACCACCCAGTGCCCTCCTGCACCCACACCACCCAGTACCCTCCTGCACCTTGCCACCACCCAGTGCTCTCCTGCACCTTGCCACACCACCCAGTACCTTCCTGCACCTGCCCCACCACCCAGTGCCCTCCTGCCTTGCCACCACCCTGTGCCTCCTGCACCTGCCACACCACCCAGTGCCTCCTGCACCTTGCCACACCACCCAGTACTCCTGCACCCTGCCACCACAGTACCCTCCTGCATCCTGCCACACCACCCAGTGCCACTCACCGTCACACCACCCAGTGCCCTCCTGCCTTGCCACCCACAGTGCCCTCCGTCTGCCACACCACCAGTGCCCTCCTGCACCTGCCACAGCCACCCAGTCCTCCTGCCGCCCCTGCCTTGCCCACCACCCAGTACCCTCCTGCTGCCACACCACCCGTGCCCTTCTGCACCCTGCCACACCACCCAGTACCCCTCCTGCACCTTGCCCACACCACCCAGTACCCTCCTGCACTGCCACCGCAGTGCCCTCCTGCCTTGCCACCACCCTGTGCCCTCCTGCATCCTGCCACCGCAGTGCCCCCTGCCTCCTGCCACACCACCCAGTGCCCTCCTGCGCCCTGCCACCACAGTGCCTCCTGCCCTGCCACCACCCAGTACCCTCCTGCACCGCCACACCACCAGTGCTCTCTGCCCTTACCACCACCCAGTGCCTCCTGCCTGCCACACCACCCAGTGCCTCCTGCACCCTGCCACACCACTCAGTACCCACCTGCACTCTGCCCTCCACCCAGTGCCCACCTACACCACCCACCAGTGCCCTCCTGCACCCTGCCACACCACCCAGTACCCCTGCACTCTGCCACTCACCCAGTGCCCACCTACACCCTGCCACCACACAGTACCCACCTGCGCCCTGCCACCACAGTGCCCACCTACACTCTGCCCTCCACCAGTGCCCACCTACACCTGCCACACCACCCAGTGCCCACCTACACCCTGCCACTCTACCCAGTACCCACCTACACTCTGCCACACCACCCAGTGCCCACCTACACCTGCCACACCACACAGTGCCCACCTACACCCTGCCACTCTGCAGTGCCCACCTCACCCTGCCACTCTGCAGTGCCCACCTACACCCTGCCACACCACCCAGTACCCACCTGCCACTCTGCCCAGTGCCCACCTACACCCTCTCGCCAGTGCCCCTACCTGCCACTGCCCAGTGCCACCTGCACTCTGCCACCCACCCGGTGCCCACCTCGCATCCTCCCGCGGTGCCCACCTGCGCCCTCCACTCTGCAGTGCCCACCTACGCCCTGCTGCACCACCCAGTGCCCACCACCGTCCTGCCACCGCACGGTACCCACCTACGCCCTGCCACACCACACAGTGCCCACCTACATGCCACACCACGGTGCCCACCTACCTGCCACACCACCCAGTACCCACCTACCTGCCACCACCGGTGCCACCTGCCTGCCACACCACCCAGTGCACCCTACTGCACCAGTGCCCACCTACACCCTGCCACACCACCCAGTGCCCACCTGCACCCTGCCACCACCAGTGCCCACCACACCACCCCAGTCGCCCACCTCACCGCAGTACCCACCTGCACCCCTGCCACCCAGTACCCACTACGTCCTGCCACCACCAGTGCCCACCTGCGCCCACCCCACCACCCAGTGCCCACCTCCACCCTGCCACACCACCCAGTGCCCACCTACACCCTGCCACCTACACCTGCCACCACCCAGTGCCCACCTACACCTGCCACACCACCAGTGCCACCTGCACCCTGCCACCACCCAGTGCCCACCTACACCCTGCCACCACCCAGTGCCCACCTGCACCCTGCCACACACACCAGTGCCACCCCTGCACCTGCCACCACCCAGTGCCACCTGCACCTGCCACACCACCCAGTGCCCACCTACACCCTGCCACGTGCCTCCCTGACACACCACCCAGTGCCCACCTACACCCTGCCACACACCACCCAGTGCCCACCTACACCTGCACACCCAGTGCCCACCTACACCCTGCCACCACCCAGTGCCACCTGCACCCACACCACCCAGTGCCCACCTGCCCCTGCCACACCACCCAGTGCCACCACCCACTGCCACACCACCCAGTGCCCACCTGCACCCTGCCACGTCACACCACCCAGTGCCCACCTGCACCTGCCACACCACCCAGTGCCCACCTACACCCTGCCACACCACCAGTGCCCACCTGCACCCTGCCACACCACCAGTGCCACCTGCACCCACACCCTGCCACCACCTGCACCCAGTGCCACCTACACCCTGCCACACCACCCAGTGCCCACCTGCACCCTGCCACCACCCAGTGCCCACCTACACCCACCACACCACCCAGTGCCCACCTGCACGCCACACCACCCAGTGCCCACCTACTGTGCCACACCACCCAGTGCCCACCTACACCCTGCCACACACCACTGTACCTCACCTGCCACACCACCCAGTACCCACCTACACCCTGCCACACCACCCAGTGCCCACCTACACCCTGCCACACCACCCAGTGCCCTACACCCTGCCACACCCAGTGCCCACCTACACCTGCCACACCAGTGCCCACCTCGTACCCACCACCCAGTGCCCACCTACACCTGACCACACCACCAGTGCCCACCTACACCCTGCCACACCACCAGTGCCCACTACCCACACCACCGTTGCCCACCTGCACCTGCCACCACCCAGTGCCCACCTGCACCTGCCACACCACGGCCACCGCACCTGCACCTGCCTGCAGTGCCACCTGCAGCCTGCCACCACCCAGGTGCCCACCTACGCCTGCACACCACCCGGTGCCCACCTGCACCACCCAGTGCCCACCTGCCTGCCCCACCCAGTGCCCTCACCTGACACACCACCCAGTGCCCACCACCCTGCCCCAGTGCCCACCTGCACCCTGACACACCACCCAGTGCCACCTACACCCTGCCACACCACCCAGTGCCCACCTGCACCCTGCCACACCACCCGGTGCCCACCTACACCCTGCCACACCACCCAGTGCCACCCACCCTGCCCACCACCCAGTGCCCACCTGCACCCTGCCACACCACCCAGTGCCCACCTACGCCTGCCACACCACCCAGTGCCCACCTCACCCCTGCCCCCACACCACCCGGTGCCCACCTGCACCTGACCCGCACCACCCTGAACCACCCAGTGCCCACCTGCACCCCTGCCACACCGCAGTGCCCACCTACACCCTGCCACCACCCAGTGCCCACCTACACCCTGCCACCGCAGTGCCACCTACCCTGACACACCACCCAGTGCCCACCTGCACCCTGACACACCACCCAGTGCCCACCTACACCCTGACACACCAGTGCCCACGCCTGCCCCACACCACCCAGTGCCCACCTGCACCCTGGGCACTACAGTGCCCACCTGCCCTGACCTGCAGTGCCACCTGCACCCTGCCACACCACCCAGTGCCCACCTACGCCCTGAGCCTACCCAGTGCCCACCTGCACCCTGCCACACCACCCAGTGCCCACCTACACCCTGACCCACACCGCAGTGCCCACCTCACCTGCCCACCACCCAGTGCCCACCTGCACTGTCACACCACCCAGTGCCACCTGCACCTGACCCCTGCAGTGCCCACCCCACGCCACTGCACCACCCAGTGCCCACCTGCACCCTGCCACCACCAGTGCCCACCTGCACTGCCACACCACCCGGTGCCACTCACCCACCCACACCGTGCCCACCTACACCCTGCCACACCACCCAGTGCCCACCTGCACCCAGTGCCCACCTGCACCCTGCCACACCACCCAGTGCCACCTACACCTGCCCACACCCAGTGCCCACCTGCACCTGCCACGCCACCCAGTGCCCACCTACACCCTGGCCCACCTCCCAGTGCCCACCGGTACGCCCACCTGCCCCAGTGCACCCTGCCCCCGGTGCCCCACCTGCCCCAGTGCCACCTGCCCCAGTGCACCCCAGTGCACCCCACCTGCACCCAGTGCGCCCACCTACACCCAGTGCACCCACCTGCACCAGTACCCTGCACCCAGTGCCCCACCCAGTGCACCCACCTGCACCCAGTGCCACGCCCATTTACCCCAGTGCACCCACCTACGCAGTGCCCCACCTGCCCCCAGTGCCACCCACCTACCCCAGTGCGCCCACCTACACTGCCACCCCCAGTGCACCCACCTACCCCAGTGCACCCACCTGCACCCAGGTGCACCACCCAGTGCCACCTACACCCAGTGCACCCACCTACCCCCAGTGCCCACCTGCCCAGTGCACCCGCACCCAGTGCCACCTACACCCAGTGCCCTGGTGCTACCCGGTGCCCCACCTGCCCCCAGTGCCCACCTGCCCCCGTTGCCCGCCTGCACCGGTGCACCCACTGCAGTGCCTGCGGTGCACCCACCTGCACCCAGTGCGCCCACCTGCCCCCGGTGCACCACCTGCACCCACCAGTGCACCCACTGCCCCAGTGCACCCCACCTGCACCCAGTGCACCCACCACCCCAGTGCCTGCACATTGCCCCCACCGTTGCCACCTGCACCAGTGCCCGCACCCTGCCCCAGTGCACCACCTGCCCCCAGTGCACCCACCTACCCAGTGCCACCTACGCAGTGCGCCTGCCCCCCGGTGCGCCCACCTGCACCAGTGCACCTGCACCACGTGCCCCCTGCACCCGGTGCACCCACCCCCCAGTGCACCCACCTGCCCCCGGTGCCCACACTGGTGCCTCCCCAGTGCCCACCTGCCCCACCACCCCCAGTGCACCCACCTGCGCGGTGCGCCACCTGCACCCAGTGCACCCACCTGCACCCGGTGCGCCCACCTGCGGTGCAGCCTGCCCCGGTGCGCACCCCGGTGCGCACCTGCACCCGGTGCGCACTGCCCCGGTACGCCACTGCTGCACCCTGCCGGTGCGCACTGCCCGGTGCGCCCACCTGCCCCCGGTGCGCCCACCTACCCCAGTTGCACCACCTGCCCCCAGTACACCCAGGTGCCACCTACGCGGTGCGCACCTGCGCCTGCCCCCGGTGCCACCTACACCCGGTGCACGCACCTGCGCGGTGCCACCTGCCCCCGGTGCGCCCACCCTGCACCCGGTGCTGCTCCGCGCCTGCTGGGTTGCCACCTGCCCCGGTGCGCCCACCTGCCCCCGGTGCGCCCACCCTGCCCACCCCGGTGCGCACCTGCCCCCGGTGCGCCCACCTGCACCCAGGTGCCCCCACCTGCCCCCAGTGCACCCACCTGCACCCAGTGCACCACCTGCACCCGAGTGCACCCACCTGCACCCAGTACGCCCACCCCCAGTGCACCCACCTGCAGTGCCCCCACCTGCCCCAGTACCCACCTACCCAGTGCACCACCACTACCCGGTGCCCCACCTGCAGTCCCCACCCAGTACACCACACCCAGTACCCCTGCCCCAGTGCACCCACCTACCCAGTACACCCACCTACCCCAGTGCCCCTCACACCACCCACCTACACCCAGTACACCCACCCAGTACCCACCTACTGCCCCACCGTGCCCCACACACCCAGTGCCCACCACACCCAGTACACCCACCTACACCAGTACACCACCTACACCCAGTACCACCCACCTACACCCGTGCCCCTACACCCAGTGCACCCACCTACCCCAGTGCCCACCTACCCCCAGTACACCCACCTTCACCCAGTGCACCCACCCACTGCCCACCCAGTACACCCACCCACACCCAGTACACCCACCTACACCCAGTACACCCACCTACCCAGTACACCCACCTACACCCCACACCCACCCCATACACTCACTCTCTCACTCTCTGTTCTCACACTTACACATTTATTCAAAGTGTATTACAAGAATATAGTGTATGCAATGTATTATAAATATATTGTTGCTGGTAGCATTATACATACACCCATACATTGTTTCTGACCAAGTGTATGACAAGTGTGCAAGTGTGTAGAACAAGTGTCTTAACAGATGTCACATAACATTACAGAGTTACAGCAGTGTAATTGTGGCACTTTCTACCCTACACATGGACTGCATTTTGGTGCAGGTGTGTTACAGGTGTGTCTCAACATTACAACAGATTTAGGTGTATTTGTTGTATTAAGTGATTATAGCTGTGAGCAGACGTGACCAGAGTCAGGTATGATGCCAATTACAGCGTATTACAGGTGTGTTAAGCAATTATCGTATTACAGGTATATGAAGATAATTGAACATTTACACAAGTGTCTGGAGAAAATTTGTGAATACAGGTTGAGGGGTATTTATGGTATGTTACAGGTGTGTCATAATTATACTACATTACAGGTGTGTAATTATCTCATTACAGGTGTGTGTCTGTAGTAATTATACTACATTACAGGTTGTGTCATTGTAGTTATACTACATTACAGGTGTGTCATAGTAATTATACTACATTACAGGTGTGTCATGGTAATTATACCATTCAGGTGTGTCATGGTAATTATACTACATTACAGGTGTGTCATGGTAATTATACTACATTACAGGTGTGTCAAAGTAGTATACTACATTACAGGTGTCATGGTAATTATACTACATTACAGGTGTGTCATGGTAATTACCACTTTACAGGTGTGTCATGTTAATATACTACATTACAGGTGTGTCATGGTAATTATACTACATTACAGGTGTCATGGTAATTATACTACATTACAGGTGTGTCATTGTAATTATACTACATTACAGGTGTGTCATGGTAATTATACTACATTACAGGTGTGTCATGTATTTATACAGGTTTAAGGCATTACACTATTGAAGATGTGAGTCAATTACAATCATTTTCCATGTCTCACCTACACACAATAACTCTCAGTACAGTTTCACACACACACACACACACACACACACACACACACACACACACACACACACACTACTACTTTGCCGTCTTTGAATGAGGCTGAGATCATTCAGCCAATGATATGAGTTTTAAGAATGTCACCTACAGTAGGTTGGTGAGTTCTGAGGTGACTAAAAGAGGCCGATGGGACCGGAGAGTCGTCCTAGATGTTGCACGTGTGAGGGGCTACATCTAGTGCGGGAGGGGCGGCGGCAACGTCTCACACACACACACACACACACACACACACACACACACACACACACACACACACACACACACACACACCTCTACTACTACTTTGCTGTCACTGGTAATCAGGCTGACGATCATTCAGCTATGATACAATGATATGAGTTGGGTATCTACTACAGTAGGTTGGTGAGTTCTGGGTGACTAAAGAGCCGATACGGGAGGGCGCTTGTTTGCCTCGTTATACAGTCGGGTTCACTCAAAGCATTGCCTCCTCGTGTGGTGCTCCTCCAACGTTACGGTGCGTAATCGTCTCCCAGGTGAGGGGTCCATTTGGCTTTTCAGGTTTGTCTTAAGACTATCCTTATACCTTTTCAGTTGGCCGCCAGCGTTACGTTTACTATTCATTAGGTGACTGTAAAGTAGCTGCGGCAGTCTACTGTCGTCCATGTGGGTAACATGGCCAGTCCAGCGTAGTTGTTCATGGATAATGGTAGCCTCGATGTCCTACAGTTGGTGTCAGCAAGAATACTGGCATTTGTTCTCTTGTCTCCCCAGCGAACTCGGAGGATGGAACGTAGACAACGTTGGTGATTTTAAATGCCTTGAGGTGCCTCCTGTATGTGACCCATGTCTCACTGCCAGCAGGGTGGGAAGACCACTGCTCGATATACGTTTCTCTGTAGATAATTTCGCTCCCCAGCTGAGGCACGGGTGATGAGGACATCTCGGCGATCTCTTTCTCTGACAATGATGTAGTCAATGAGATGCCAGTGTTTGGATCATGGGTGTTGCCACAGCCCTTGAACTTGTCGGCCTGTCTGAACAAGGTATTGGTGATAGTGAGGTTGTCAGCAGCACTTGCTGAGGAGGGTAGGCCATTGGCATTACACTCGCTTAGTCCATTCTCCAAGGTTCCCTGCCAAATGTCTGGCATTGAAGTCACCAAGGAGCACAACCTTATCTTCTCTGGGGATAGAGTTAGCACTCTGTCAAGGTCGGTGTAAAGCCTCCTTGATGTCATCTTCTGCATCCAGTGTTGGGGCGTATGCACTGATGAAAGGCATGACGTGAGTGCTTCAGTGGGACTTTCAGTGCTGTTTCTCTCCAAGCAGGCTTACCTTCCCAGAAGGTGTAGCCAGACCCTCGTTCTGTGAGCCAGGACTCACTAATGGCTGCTATGTCGATGTTGTACCTAGCCAGTTCCTTTACCACAAGGGCAGTTCTTCTTTCAGGACGCTCATTTGTGCAGTATCCAGAAGGGTCCTGACATTCCATGCAGCGACCATAAGGAGTTATATATATATATATATATATATATATATATATATATATATATATATATATATATATATATATATATATATATATATATATATATATATATATATATATATATATATATATATATATATATATATATATATATATTTTTTTTTTTTTTTTTTTGTTATGATTGTATTTTCGACCACATAAGATGACCTTACTGGGTGCGTTGCCCAGTCAGGTTGGTCTGCAGGTTATGTTTAGGGCACCTTTTCTAGCCCCTCCCCATGTGGGGTGAGCAGAGAGCTCCTCGTAAGGGCTGCTCAGTCGCACAGCAGGACAGGATTGCACTGCTGCCTAGATCCCAGTGCATAAACGACCATCTTATCTGTGCCGCCCATGTGTGGGGTTGTGACTAGAGACTCCCGGCAGTCATCTCTGCCTGTCCCGTCGCCACTCGTCCGTCGCCATGGGACTTATGGGGTATAGGGGTTTTGATGATGATGAGGGGTATGATGAACTGGATGATGGCTGTACGTGAGTTGATTATGTGGTGAGGCAGGAGCGCAGGCTGCAACCACACATCTTGGTTCTCCTTTTCCTGATCCAGTGGTGCAAGTGTTTGCAACGACTGGGGAGAGGAGGTTGCAATACTACTGATGGCCCAGTTTGTTGGGCTCGGCCTTAGTAGTGTGTCCATCAGGCATCGCCTTCGTCCGCCGGTGTAGTCGTTGGGTTCCCCATGGTGGTCACCTCTTCCGCCTACACCGCCGTTGGGGTCTTGGTGGAGCTCTGTAAGCATGTCTGCCTGATGCGGGGCTCCACTGCAGATTTTTCTTTCAGGTTAACTTCTTCAGACTTATACCTACCAAGGTTAATCCGCAAGGTTAGAGGGGCAATGGTCGACAACCAGAATCACACGATAACCACAATCACGTGACAACAACAATCAGTCAACAACCACAATCACACGAGAACCAGAATCAGTGAGACGGTCACAATCAGTCGACAACCACAATCAGTCGACATATCAGCTGAGTGGGGGCCTCATTCACATTGGCCTCACACAACCACAACAACCACACTGCCAAGGAGGGGTGAGGGGGAGGGGGAGGGAGGGGGTGAGGGGATGGTGGTCACATCAATGGTAAGGGAGGGGTTGAGGGAGAAGGGTGAGAGAGGGAGGGAGGGAAAATGAGTAGCATGAGTTAGTATGGGCTGGGTGGGATCTCTTTTTTTTTTTTTTTTCTCTCTCTCTCGGCCCAGAGCCAGTCTAAGGCAGCATGTGCTATTAAACCTAACCTAACACTAAACTAACCTAACCTCCTAACCTACTTAACCTAACACTAAACCTTAACGCCTACTTAACACTAACCTAACCTAACACTAACCTAACCTAACACTAACCTAACCTAGCTAACCCTAACCCTAACACTTCGCCTATCCTAACCTAACCTAACCTAACTTAACTTAACCTAACCTAACCTAACCTAACCAACGCTAACGTAACCCACCTTAACCAACACTAACTTAACCTAACCAAATGCACTTAAATTACTCAAATCTTTTCATTATATACCGTAAAAAATACCCATATGAAAAATATCCATGTAAAATATCCACTGAGACACTCGTAAAATATCACATGAAAAATATCCACTTGTAAAATATCCACTTTAAGAGAGACACTCGTAAAATATCCACATGAAAAATATCACTTTAAGGATCCGACTAAAATACCCACTTGTAAAACTACATCCTCAAACAAAGTAGCCACACTGGAGATTACCCACTGTGATGGCACTGGTGAAGAAAGAGTGCCATTATCAGGCAGAGAAGACTCTTGGCACTGGCACCATACAAACACTGCAACATATGCCCACCATAATGCCAGAGATGCCCACCATAATGCCAGAGATGCCCACCATAATGCCAGAATGCCCACATAATGCCCTGGATGGAGAGATGCCCACCATAATGCCTGGATGGAGAGATGCCCACCAAAATGCCCTGGATGGAAGACGCCCACCATAATGCCGAGAATGACCACCAAATGCCCTGGATGGAGAAATGCACCATAATGCCAGAGATACCCACCATAATGCCAGATATACCCACCATAGCCCTGGGTGGATAGATGCCCACCATAATGCCTTGGATGGAGATGCCACCATAATGCCAGAGATGACCACCAAAATACCTGGATGGAGAGATGCCCACCATTATGCCTAGATGGAGAGATGCCCACCATAATGCCCACTATGAAGCATTGTTGGTGTAGGTGAACGTTTTCATCTAGGGTTTTATAGTACCGTTCACTTGGTCTTAAGCTCTAAGTGGTTTAAGTATCCGTTTCGAATTCAACCCGCTTAACACACACACTTCAACACTTATCCTATGCCCAGTACATCAACAAACACACACACACCGTATACACTTCTCTCAGGTACCCACACAAGAATGCCCACATATGGTACCCACATATACATTTCTATATTAAGCAAAAGAACAGACCAGCGATTTCCAACTATCGTATATAATTTGCATATTAATATCGATAACTTACTAAATGTTATATTTTTCAAGGTTTAAGAATATCAATTTTTAGTACGTTATTCTTGTGTGCTGATTGTGGTCGATAAATAGCACTAACTACGCACTATTAGATGCTGTTAGGCACTAAACCAGGTACGGTCACACGATAGGTTAACTCAGCACTACGGCCCGCGCACCACCCAATCTCAGGGCTAATCCAGTACTGGCCAGGGCTGGTGGTGAGGCACATGCCACACACACACTCACTCACACACACACACACACACTCACACGCGTCTTAACGCTATCGTGTGTCTGGCAGTAGTGTTGTGTGTGTGTGTGTGTGTGTATGAAGAGAGAAGAAGAGAGAGAGAAGTGCTTTCAGATGATAGGGAGTAAATTAAGGACTGCTCGGGCTGCACCTCAGCTTACGGGGTGAAGCTGCAATCATATCACGTTTAAAGCTTCAAACTCCACTAAAAGCTTATTCACCAATTATCAGCTTATTCTAATCTATAATAAATATAAACACAGATAAATAGTCAGTAAATAATGGAATAATAGTCAAATATTAAAAGAAAACATGAAAATGGTGAAATGGTGAAAAATAAGATATATTTCAACTTGGCAACTCAATGAAATGGTGTTGGAGACGCACACAAAGGCGGCAGTTATCGTCCTTCACAACCAGGTTAACAATTATGTTAAATTAACCTTTAATAACGTTAATATCAGGTTATTTGTGATTGGTTAAAGGATTATAATCGCAAATCCACATTGGTCAATATTTCAGTTACAATGTATATAATAATGCGTAAATATACGATAATAATAATAATAATAATAATAATAATAATAATAATAATAATAATAATAATAATAATAATAATAATAATGTTTTTTTGCTATTTACAGAGTGATAAACAGAGTAAAGGAAAAAACACGTTATGGCGATATGCTTGGTAAATTTAAACCGGAAAATAGAACAGGTTTCAGGGATTTGTCCGAATGTCTCACACCTGATTTTGAAAACCTTTTACAAATGATTAGTCCAGAAATATTACGAACGGATTACGAAATACAGATTAGCAGCAATTACAGCTTCGACCAGATTGACGACTATTATAGTGAAATAGTTGACGACCGGAGATTCATTTACAAGTCTGAAACTATCATAGCAGACAGAACCATTTCTCAAGTCTGTGAATCTCTCATCATCTTCTTCACTCATCCACCACACCTTTCACCACCACACCACCCCCACCACATCCACCACCACCATCCACCACCACCACCCCCACCACACCACCACAACGAACCGGATGTTGCACTTGTCTCCGTATACATTGCACAGCTCTTCAAATGGTCAACATAAATTAGCCTAGTACTAGTGTGTGGGGGTGGTGTTGGACGAAGCTTGTGTGATTACTGTCTATAATACTGGACGGACAGACAGACAGACAGAGACACACTTATATCCCCATTTTATAGGTAGGAGGGAGGGAGGAGGGTGGGTGAGAGAAGGTAGAAGTGAGGGAGGAGAGAATATAATGTAACAAGGGCGGTGAGTGACCGACAGACTCAAGTGGGAATATAACCCACTTCAAGATCTTATCCTGCCTCACCCTACCCTAGCCTGCCTCCCCCTGCTGCCACACCCCACCCTAGCCTGCCCCACCCTCACCTTAGCCTACCCTATCCTGACGTACCCTACCCTAGCCTGCCCTAGCTCACCTGTCCCACCCTACCTCCCTCACCCTGCCCTGTCCCACCCTAATTCTTCCCTACCCTGCCCTGTCCTACCTTAGCCTGACCTGTCCTGTCTTCCTGTCTCCCTACCCTACCCTACCCTGGCCTGCAATAGCCTGCCCTAGACACCCACCTACAAATGCTATAATATTGTCCTGTTACACCATCCCTAACCTAACTTAACCAACCTAACCATAACTTAACATACCCACACACCCCTCTTTATTACTCCACACTAACTTTTTACTTCCACACACCCACCTTACCTACCCACACACCCACTACCTACCACACCCACCCAGGTCGGTCAGGATACACCACTGCTGTTTGTTGACATCATAAAGTTAACATAGCGGTGTAAACTTCCTTTTCTTGGCCTTTTCGGTGGTATAATTTGTTGGGCGCGAAAAAGGCTTCAACCCGAACCGGAGATAAACAAACTACCACTGGGTAAAAGTGGTGTCAGGTGAGTCTTGGTGTCAGGTGAGTCTTGGTGTCAGGTGTGAGTTCATAGGTCAGGTGAGTCTGGTGTCAGTGTGAGTCTTGGGTCAGGTGTGAGTTCATGGTGTCAGGTGTGAGTCTTGGTGTCAGGTGTGAGCTTGGGTCAGGTGTGAGTTCATGGTGTCAGGGGTGAGTCAGTCAGGGGTGAGTCATGTGTCAGGTGTGAGTTCATGGTGTCAGGGGTGAGTCATGTGGCCAGGGGTGAGCTGGTGTCAGGTGTGAGTCATGGTGTCAGGTGTGAGTCATCGATCAGGTGTGAGCCGTGGTGTCAGGTGGAACATCGATCAGGTGTGAGCTGCGGTGTCAGGTGTGAGTAATGATCAGGTGAGTCATGGTGCTGTGTGAGTCATGGTGTCAGGTGTGAGTCATCGATCAGGTGTGAGTCGTGGTGTCAGGTGTGAGTCATCGATCAGGTGAGTCAGGTGTCAGGTGTGAGTCATCGATCAGGTGGAGTCATGGTGTCAGGTGTGAGTGCGTGGTCAGGTATGTGATAGTTTGGTTTCTGTTAGTTCCAGGGGCCCATGATGACTAGGGGGCCCTATGATGACTAGGGGTCCATGATGACTAGGAGCCCAAGATGACTAGGGGTCCATGATGACTAGGGGCCCATGATGACGTGCTAGTCAACTATATAACAAGGTGTGTGTGTGTGTGTGTGTGTTATTATATATGTGTGTGTGTGTGTGTGTGTGTGTGTGTGTGTGTTGTTTGTGTGTGTGTGTGTGTGTGTGTGTGTGTGTGTGTGTGTGTGTGTGTGTGTGTGTGTGTGTCTATGTGTGTGTGTGTGTGTGTGTGTGTATGTGTGTGTGTGTGTGTGTGTGTGTGTGTGTGTGTGTGTGTATTATGTGTGTGTGTGTGTGTGTGTGTCTATGTGTGTGTGTGTGTGTGTGTGTGGGTGTGTGTGTGTTATTATGTGTGTGTCTATGTGTGTGTGTGTGTGTGTGTGTGTGTGTGTGTGTGTGTGTGTGTGTGTGTGTGTGTGTGTTATATGTGTGTGTGTGTGTGTGTGTGTGTGTGTGTGTGTGTGTGTGTGTGTGTGTGTGTGTGTGTGTGTGTGTGTGTGTGTGTGTGTGTACAAACTCTGGTGACGACGAGCGCGTCTCGCCCTTCTACCATGTGCAGGTCTTGGTGCCACCATCCCTGTACTTCTCACCATACAAGTCTTTTGTCCGTTCCTGTGTCGACTACGCCGCCCCCTCCCTCGTCAACATTAGTCGGACTGCTGTCAACCGTCTCGAAGTTATCCAGAGGAAAGCTGCTCGTATCATCCTTGGGTCTCAGTGGACACGCTCTACTTCTATATACCGAAGTTGGTCTTCCCCTTGCTGGGATCGTGTCCAGGAGTTTTACCTAAAACTGCCGTTTCATTCTACGGATCCCGGGGCAACTATGTTCCGGCTACACTTGACTTTGCTGTCCGAGGCCGACCTCCATCTACTGTAGAAGACAGTGGCGAGGGTCACCATCGAGCCCTTTGAAACACGACCTCTGCCTGATATTGTTGTCACCCACCTGTTGTTGGTTCGTCTCCTTCTCCTGGCTGGGATTTTCAACCTGAAGTGGTTGCCCTTGGACCGCCCCGAAATCCCACGTGAATCCTGTTATTTCTGCAAATACCACCTCTCAGGATGGCCCACTGGTCCCCAGGTAGGGTCGTCCTCACACTGATGGTTCTGTTGACCTGCTACAGGTAGGGCGGGGCTGGTGTCTACATCTTCCGGTCCCGATGCCCCTGAGCCTATCAAACTGTCTCTCAGAGTTTCTGGACGGGCATCTCCACCAGGCTGAACTATACTCCTTGCTGCCCTCTCGCTGAGGAAGAAGCAGATGGTTTCTGCCCCTTGCTTGTCTGCTGTTGCGATTCCAGGTCTGCTTCGACGGGATCGCATGGATCAGGGGAAAATATGACCTCATCTCCGAATACGAGGGTTAACATCCACACTTCAGGATGCAGGCCGTCCCAGACATTCCTATGGATACCCAGTCATGTCGGTATCTTGGGGAATGAGGCAGCAGATGGCTGCCAAGACAGGTTGCAACAAGGCTACACTGACTATGTTGTTCGAACACTTTGCAGCTATGACCCGAATTAGCTGCAAACAGAGAGAAGCTCGGGGCAGCTATCCTCTGGACTCCTGCCCACCTGGTACGATGTCCTTAAACTTCCGACCTCTCGTATGTCTATGCGGGAAAGGGTCGCAAAGGGACGATTGCTGCCCGTATCATCATTGGGTATGACTTGCTCGGGA